GAAGGTAACAGCAATTATTCATTATCGCTTCAAGAAGGTGATGTACTCACTCAAACTATATTATCTGAAACTAGTTGTTACGTTAGTTCAACTAGTCCAATACTTGTGGCTCAGTTCCCAGTAGCTGATGAACGTGATATGATAATCATTCCTCCACTGCATCAGTATGCTTCTAACATAACTAGTTTTCCTAGCATTTTTTTTGATACTGCTGTTACTTTTGTTGTACTTGCTGCTGATGATTCATCACAGATACGACTGAATGGCAAACTTCTTCCATCTCTCACGTCCAGTTCATGGGAATATTACAGTACTTTTGATAATGGTTGTTATGTGTATAACAGTGATAACAATTATATTTTATTTAACCTTGGTGAGTTTACTATTTGGTCTAATAACAGTGACGACAAGATATTGGCAATGCTTTATGGTCATTTTTATACATATTTTTATTCTGGAAGTATAGACCTGAAACCTTCTGAAGGTATGATTTTAAGTTAATGCAATGCTGTTTCAATTTCTTAAATTTTGCTGGTTTTGTGTGCTTTAGTATACCCAATTTTTTGCAGTGTGTTTTCTACTGTGATGCTAATTATGCATGCACTCAGTAGCATTAATTTTTAATGACATTTGCATAGTTGGGGCTTACGTTTTGTAATGTTATTTTTGCTGGTGTAGGTTATGTAATTATTATTACTTTGTTAAATTGAATGAATGGATTTAATTTTCAGCGAAACAGTGTAACTTACAAGTTTTGAGTGTCATTCATTTAGTCTTATATTTTGTGACATTCATACATGTGCATATATGAACTCCATATTAATTGCACCATTGTTAACCTCAAGGTTAATTTTTGCCTGCTATAGGTTATATATGTGAACTGAGTCCTTGTCAGAATGGAGGTAATTGTACACTTGTTTCAGCTCCTTCTAATTACACCTGTGATTGTACTACTGGCTATCAAGGAGTTAATTGCTCAACCCTTATTCGTAAGTACAATATTGTTAGTAATTTATCTCCTTACTCTTTTAATGAGATTTGCTGCATGGCTTTACATCAACATTAATAAACTTGCTTACATGTCTCTATCTTCCTTACATGCATGTACCTCATATTATGTCATCTGTATTTACTGCATTTCAGTATTCTAATTGTATTGTCAGTGTAATTAAGATAATCATAATTACTCTATCCCTCTCACTCACACTCTGCCTCTTAAGTAAATATTTTTTATGACGCATGTTCTCTACTTACCTTTTCTTTATATCCTTTTCTCCTTTGGTAATTGTGTCATTTGTAATATTCAACTCTTTGATTTCTTTTTGATATAAATTTAGTACTAGGTTTGCTTGATTAGCATTTATTTTTCACTGCAGGCAAAAATTGCTTTAAAAATGCCAGCAAAATCTAGGGCACCTGTACTGGAAAAATTTGCATATCTATGATTAGATGATATTACAGAGATGGTTGTTTATTTGAGCTAGTCATTTGAGCAAATATAGTACTCACTATTATAGAATAATGCATTTCTCAAAAATTAATAGTACTAGAAACTTGAATAGCAATGATGTTAAAAATACTAGTATGCATTGTATATTTCCAATTCTTTATAGCATGTAAAACTGGATCAATCAATCTTGTCAATGGTCCACATGATTGGGAAGGAAGAGTGGACGTGTGTGTTAATGAATCATGGGGCACTGTCTGTGATAATAACTGGGACTCCACTGATGCAGCAGTAGTGTGTAGCCAACTAGGCTGGGGAACAAGTGAGTTGATTCATTGTGATAGTTATTTACAATATATTATCACAGATGGAACTGCTCTATCAAATGCCTACTTTGGTCAGGGTAATGGTAGTATCCACCTGGATAATGTTCAGTGCTTAGGAACTGAGCAGTTATTGACAAACTGCACACATTCAACCACCCA